CCACCAATTAATTGTTGTTCCGAGTCTGATGTGTACGTAAAAATGTATGTTTTTAAACGCACCAACGACACAGCAGAAAATCATATTATGTGGTTTTTTTATGTAATAAGTCGGCAAACGGGCAAACAGATTTCCTGATGGTAAGCAATCAGTGCGTTGCCGACCTTTTAGGGATTAGGGATTTGGAGATTTAAGGACTGATGAGGGATTGGGGAACGGGCCTTCCCTTTCTAGAGGTTACCGGAGGCCCAATCCTTATTGGGCCTCCGGTAACCTCACTCACACAACGAAATACAACGCTGTGGTTGTTTCACGTCGATTTTCTTCGTGCCGAAGCATGGCGCTCCTAGACTTTTTATGGAGGTACGGTTATTTTTAAAGAAAACCATATATTGTAGCCAGCTATAGTTCCATTTACAGCGATTTTGGCCTTAAAATACGGTAGTTTCCAACTAGTCAAATTCAATACTTTTATCCAAATGTCTAAAACGATACTTTTCTAAGAAATTTGTATGAAAAACTGAATCATGACGTCATAGATTTTTTGCGTCTAATAGCTTACTTATTTATTAAAAGTTAGCTAAAAAATATATAAAACTTAGTGTATCGATCGATTGATGAATAAAAGTATAGTTATTTTTCAATATTTTATTATATTGTAACGTCGAATCAATTTATTTTGGACCTAGGAAACTACCCAATTGGTATAGCTACTATGTATGTATAGTTATGCATAGCACATAGTAAACACAAAGGTACCATTCGTCATGTAAGTGCCATAAATTAATATTGAATTATTTGTTCAAACACAACTGTTTATATAACGAAGATTTAGTGGTTTTCCTCTTAACGGGTGTTTCGGGATACCAAATAAACATTGCCTTGTTTTTCCAATTCCTGAACTAATTTGCGATTCTTAAGACCACAAATATGTTAATTTTCAATACGTTTCAAAGAAATACACTTGAAGAAACTACAGTGGTGTTCCTAGAAGAAATTAAATGAATCAATTTCTTCCAATGTATCGATGGTTCAAAATGTAAAAGATTCACGATTCTCCATTCTTAATCTGAGGCTTCTAAACAAACAAAAAATGAATTGATATTACTTTTATAAACATAGTATTAAGCTGTTTGATAGACTCACCTCATCGGGCACTCTGTTATAGCAGCGGGAAGGCCCCTCTTTGAGGAGTGCCTTGAAAGACGACATGGTGTGTGCTTACCGGACACGGCAGCTTCGGTAGGTTCCTGTTTCCTATCCGGCGGGAGCTGAAGCTCGGGTGTTGTCATTATGAGGACCACCCGAAGGTACCGAAGGAACATACATATAGGCCATTGTCGAGGCCATGGTGCGCAGCGAGAGGACCTGGGAAGCCGTCTCCTCTTTTTTAGATGCTGGCAAAGAAGGAAGCTGAGCGCGTAAGGGAGCTAACCTCTACAAACCTCAGCCGCCGCAGTAGGCGACACTCCGATCGAGCGATGACCCGAGTCACCGTAAGCTCGGATCTTTGGACGGCTAGCAGGTGTAGCTCAGCCCTAAACCAGGAGAAGGAACAGGGGTGTTTTTAGTCAATTTATAATTACAACAAATTAATTTTGATGACTTTAACCTCACAAAAAAACACGGAGAATATGTAATCAAGCATTCATTGCCCAAGGCGGATAGCGAATTCAAATTCGCGAACTTTTCCTTCACCGTTTATCAGTAGTGTTTAAACTATCTAAGTACACGTGTACTCAGGTAAAATTGCAAAAAAACGACCGGATGCAAGTTCTCACGTTCAATAAACAGATTTACATGTAAATTGTAACTGATTGCTTCACATCACAGACGGTATTTACCGACCTCGTTTAAATCGAACCAATTATTTCTTATTATTCGCAAATTACTACAATTTGCACAAAAATGGTTTTATACCAACACTTCCGTACCGTATGGAGAAATTTCTAGAATTATTCGATAATAGCTAGAGCCGAAAAGAGTACCTACCTAAATTACAACTAAGGCAATTAGTATGTACCTTAAATCGTCTTAAAATCAAATTACTTCTACAAATAATGTACATTTTGTTTGGGAGAGCCATGCTTCGGCACGAATGGATCGGCTCGACCGGAGTGATACCACGGCCTCACAGAAAACCGGCGTGAAACAACCACAACGTTGTGGTGTGAGTGAGGTTACCGGAGGCCCAATCCTTCCCCTACCCCAATCCCTTCCCAATCCCTAAATCCCCAAAATCCCAATCCTCAAAAGGTCGGCAACGCACTCGTAACTCCGTGTTTGTTACGGGTGTCCATGGGCGACGCCGATTGCTTACCATCACGTAATCCGTGTGCTCGTTTGCCGTCCTATCGTCGTAGTAATAGGTATAATACCTATTACATACCAATTACTACTACTAACTAGAAAACAGTTCACAACTCTTTTTTTTTTAAAGGAGGAATGATTTTCCTCCATGTCATGTCATGTGATTTCTTCCGCACTGGGTGGATCAAAAGGGAGTGTCAGACTCTTACTGAAAACCCCATTCCTTGACCTGCTCCAAGCCGCGGTACATTATTGCACTTGATCCACAAGCTGTGCTGAACATCAGCCATATTAGGTCCCATCTGTGTAGTCTGTAGACTCTTTGCGGTGAGAACAGAACGCGAAGCGCTTACGCTCAGGGCTAGTTCTGGTCGGGAGGCTCCTATCCTGTTTCGCCGCCTTCATATAAGTACGCAATAAAATTATGTGACAGAATATGGTCCGTAAAAACTACGTTCTATATTAAATTTAATTATTACTTCATTACTATCCAGATATTATGATACAAGCAATACGTGGTTTATCCTTGAGGCAAGGCAGTCTATTGTCCAATTCATCTAAACCTTTAGAACAAGTTCGAAGTCTTAGTTAGTCATAGTAGCAGCTGTAATCACAGTCCCGTCATGAATTAAAAATCGAGACACTAAATCTAAGTACAATAATAGGCTCATAATATCATTATTTACCTAGACTTAATTGGGTACTTCCAATTATTTACTACAACAAAGGTATGAAGTCGCAAACATTTTGTTAATTTACACACACACATATAACGTCATATGATTATTATCATGTATTTCCCAATAGAAGAGCTTGAGAGCACATTATTTTTCCTGGTGCTCCATACTGGTATGCCTTCATGGCTCCTAATTAATACTCCTCGACCAATCTAAGCTCCTAGTATTTCTCTTTAAAACGCTTACCTTACGAAGGATTTCGTGTTGCTGGTATAATAAAAAAATTAGATGAACATACATTACTTAGCTTTTATTGTCAGCAGCTAGCAGCAAAAAATTGAAGTCCAGTAAAGATTAAAAAAACAATAGGTATAAGATGGTTATTAGAAATTATAATAAATTCTATTTGTAATTTAAAATGAGAATTTCTATAAAAGTCTCGAATCACTTAAACACAGATTAAAAATGTATGTTATTTAAATTAAGTAGGTACTGAAACGGATCTCTCTATGGCCCTGACATATTTACGAAAATAACTGTGAATGGTAAAATTTAGTTTTAAAATTATTTTACATAGTGACTTGCTTCTATTTCGCGAAGGGGATAAATATTATTAAATTTTCTGGCATACTTGCACCGATACTTTCGTCAGCTGATTAAATTCTTAGGCCTCGGTAACTGATACTTCTCACGTCATACCTCATAAAACCATAAGACCACAGATTTGAATTAATAGAACTGAGGTCCAGCCAATGTGGGCCAAACAAAAACATATGGGTAATGTACGACAAAAAATACGACTGACTACTAAGTTACGATCACTCTACCATGTAATGTATGGCCAATTTAAGAAAAAAAGCGCAAATAAAATTATAAAACGTGGCAGCAAGTCGCTTATTTAATAAATATACATGAATCACACGTGTTTAGATTACAAAAGGTGCATGACTATGTAAAAATGGAAAATTAAAACAAAAGCGGCCGCCTAATGTACCAGGGTAGCAGCAGTCACGTGGCGATGACAGAAAAGTAAAGAATCTTCGACGCGAATCTACATTTCATTTTAATTTTAAATGGTGAATAAAAAGTCTTCGTCCATATAAGTAAACGGCTTTTCAAATCTTTCAAAATTAGAGGAAAATCAAAATTAATTTGTATCAGTTTCGATTTCTGGCTAAATTGATAAATAAATAATAAAATTATCTTAAAAATCCTAAGACTGTATCTCCTCTATGCTTACAAACTCTTCCATAATCATCGGCCAGAAAGCAAAAAAGTTTTGAAACAGAAGTCTCTTTCAAAAGTTTGCCTCCTCAAAAGTTTGAATCCTCAACATTGTCTCAAGATCGTATTATTTATTTATTTACTAAAACATTCTAGGATGTCCTCGAGTCCAGTTTCAAAAGGCCAGTGCTGGAGTGTACCTCACTGAATCCGCGTTTACACACCCCACGGGTGAAAAATTCATGCGAACTCTCGTGATGCTATGAGCTTCTTCTTGTGCTCCCATGCAAAAGACCTACATTGATAGCTTGTCATCAGCCTGTCATAGAGGCAATCGAACAGACGCTTTACGTGATGGTAAGCCATCGGCGCCGTCCATGGACACTCCTGATACCAAAGCTACAAATGTGGTGCAGGCCTCTTTTATTGATTGTTAGATATTTTACGATAATTATGGGATTTGAGGATTGAGAGACCCCGAGTATAGCCATTTCATCGCACGCTGAGCGACTCTGAGTCTTTCTAGAAGGCCGGAAGTTAGGGACCACGTCTCAGTACCATACGTCATCCCTAAAAAATATCCTGGTCTTCAGACACTGTGGAATTTTTACTCCAGTCGAGCCGGCTTATTCGTGTGCAAACATGGCTCTCCCACACTTAAAATCACTTAATCCTATTAAAAAAGTAAGTCGTTGTATCAATCTGAAATTAATGTTCTCGACCTCTGCCTGACTAAATTGCTTAGCTCACATAAATAGCGAAATGACCATGTTCAGTGTCAGTAGTTGACAGTGAAATAGTATCAAAATGACTAAAGTACTGTTCGCCATCGTTCTGATGATGATTACATTCGCCGTAACACTATCTGCAAGTACCAAGGAAGCCATGACCACGACCATGACTGACCAGGTTAACAGCATTGAGGTAGATGTCTTAGCTGTTATGGACATGTGCAATGATAGCTACAGGATTGATCCAAGTAAGTTTAATTGTCTTTTTTTGATTAGACTTTGATGATGATGAGAAGAGTTCTTGTTTTTTATCTTTAACTGTATATCTACTTTTCGAGTATTGTTTATTCTATGAAGTGTCAAGAAAATCTTCAGCTTCATCTAGTTTTTCATACATAATTTTGAAGTGTGCAAAAAGTGCCGTTTTATGGCATATTTGCAAAACAAATTCATTGTTTCATTAAAAAAAGGATAGGAGTTATGTTATGCACATAATGTGAAGGGCAAGAGTTGTTATTATTAAGTAACAAAATAATGTCAAAATTCTAAACATTATTTTGTTTAGAGCAAAATATACTCTAACTTATTTTAATATGAAAATTAGAGCAATCACCATTTTTCCTTAGCCAGTTACAACAACAAGTAAATATACATGAAAACTAAATTCGTCATTCTAATATTATTTATGTTTCCAGCTTATTTACAAGCCCTGAATGAGAGCGGCAGCTTCATTGATGAAACTGATAAAACGCCAAAGGTACAACTCTAAATACTAAAATATTTGAACATGCATACGCGTATTACATTTAAGAAGATTTAAAACAATTCGATTATAACTGGCCGGGGTTTCGGGCAAAGCGCTATGAGATGGCAGCTTAGAGCAGAACAAGGAACGGGATCAGTAGGAGTCTAGCGTTTCCTCCAGCTCCAACAAGGCCAGAAAGAGTCATTCAATGATTTTCACCTCTCACATAACTATTAAATTATTTAGTGTTTTGGTATACACTTTCACATGTATAGTACACCCAAAACCGAAGCAATATTTTGTAGCTCGCACAGAGCGTTGTTGCAGGAATTGAACACGTGAGACGTTACACGGATATTGAAATTTTAGTTATTATAAATATTACTAACATTAGTCTGTAAGAACATTGTTACTAACAAAATCGATTCTTGTGGTTCAATGGTCTGGAATAAAAGATTAATAATTATAATATCTAATTTATTATATCGCAGTGTTTCATCCGCTGTGTTTTTGAAAATGTCGGCATAGTGTCTGAAGATGGTATGCAGTTGAATCCAGCTAGAGCAGCTGTCATCTTTGCAGGGGAGAGGAATGGAAAGCCTATGGAGGATATTGCTGACATGACTGCTCTGTGTGCCACTGACAGACGTGAGTAGCTTTTTTTTATTGGTGTATTGGCTATGTGCGCGACGATGGCGACGCGTAGCGTTTACAACATTTGCGGAAGCTGTCAAATAATAACAATGTAAACATTATAATTTTCTTTGCAAATATAAATAAAACCAAAGATTAAAATAGTATTGTTGACATTATTTGAGTGCTTTTATTTAATCAATATTTTTACTGTAAAATACATATAATTATAAAAACCGACAGCTGATCATCCGCATTTGTTTCCGATTTCTGCCGTGTTGTGCGCTGCGGTCGTTATCTGGCCACCACTACTCGCTTTGCACATAGCCAATAAGGCGGCAAACGAGCAGACGCACCTAACTGATAAGTCACTGAAGAGGTGAAGAACAATCGGCGACACCCATGGACACATCCAATGTATCCATGGGCCAAGAGTAGATTTTTTTTTGTGGAGGGAACAAATTACTTTGTCTTTCTGGTCCTGTCAGATACAGGTCTATAATCTATAGATTAATTGAATATTGATAAAAAATGGCTTTGTTTTAAGATTGTATGCAAATAGCCGACAGCTTTATTGGATAACCTAATAGATAACGATACAAATATCTGCATTAAATATAATAAAATTGTGTTTCAGAGGAAACCTGCCCTTGCGACCGATCATACAAGTTCTTAAGATGCCTGATGTCGATGGAAATTGAAAGATATGAGAAATCTTAAGTTGAAACTATACCTCTTCGTAACAAATGACGTCCTGGTACCTTCTGGAACTATGAGTAATATGACATATTAACCTTGCTGTGTATATAAGTGGTTGTAGTGTAGTAGGAATAAAATACTTAAAATGAAGAATAAACGTATAATAAAAATATTAGTTTTGATTTAATAAAAAATAAAAAGGGTAAATCAATTCTGTTTGAAATGAAAATTACTGATTCATTACAGAAAAATGTTTAAAATTATTATAACAAGTGAATCATGAACTATTAATTTCAAATGTAACTATCAGACTACAGCTAAAATAATGTATTGGTAAGAAATAATAAATCCAGGTTCAGTACACACGACAATAAAACACAAAATAAAATTTATTACAACATTTTATTTCATACAAACAGGTAAAGACTAGAAAACTTACATCTATCAGATCTTTGTGAATTCAATAGTTATTCGAGTGCTATTTATAAATTAAAACAATCATAAATTAACGTGTTTTCGCTCCGAATATGTTTTGGAACACTCCTCCTAGCCAACCAGTCTGGGGCTCCCTGGAAATTAAAAAATATGTTTTAATATAAAACTCTTAAACTGCCACCAGCCCCCAAGAGACGAGTAGCAGCATCCTCTAAGTTTCCAATCACTGCGATCCAAGCGTTGGTTATGACAATCCTCCTCTTAAGATTGAGAATTTTGTCCAGCAGTTGGTATTTTAGTTGATGATAATTATACAGGTGTTATTTTTAACGAGGGATATTCAAGGACCCGATTCTGGTGCCCAAATAAAACAACTTTTCCCATAAGACCAATACGGAAAATTCAAAAAAAAAATTGTTTCTTCTCCATGCAAAATGATCGATCAGCTGTTGAGATTTGTATGGAAATGGAAATAAATTTATTTTTGAGAATTCTATATTGGTCCCTTGAAAAAAGTCTTTTATTTCAGCACAAGAATCGGGTCCTTAAATGTGTCTCTCGTTCAAAATAACACACTGTAGATATAGTAGGCTATTTTTTCCATTAGACTGTCATGTTAGTGTAGTTATTGGTCATCCACGCCCAATGGTATGATGCCCATTTTTCATAGTTAAAAATTCTCAGCAGAATATGAGAGATTCACCGAAGCCTTATAAATGGGTTACTGATCATGCAAGAAACTGTTCAATGAAGCCACCACTTGCATGGCAATAGGTTAGTCCCTATTACCTACATGGGAAAAATGACATAACAGGTGGAACGTAGAAGTTTTGGTACGGTCTATAGGGTCTATATGGTCTATAGGGTCGGTAGGATGACCACGGCATATACCTGGGGAATAACAGACGCAGTATTATTTTTAACTCTTTTTTTTTAGAGCCCTAAGCTACTAGGACATCATGAACATACGTCAAAATCCCAAAATCGCATCGTTTTGTCGCGGGCTATTCGCCTGGTAGTTGTGCAAAATGTGATAGATCGGCAAACGAGCAGACGGATTACCTGATGGTACGTAATGCGCGCCGCCAACTCCAAAGGAGTTACTTACAAGTGCGTTACCGGACTTTTGGGGATTAGGGTTAGTAGGGACTCGGAGATTCGTCACTTATTCATATTTGGATTTCGGATTCAGATGCGCAACCCACTGATCGGTGACCAAAAATTACTTCAGTGTTTGTTCTGGGGTCTTTCTATGGATGAGTGACTAATATAGTCGTATGATCATAGTGTCCTAAAGACATAGGGCCCTTATTGACTATATGTATATTATTGTGATGGTTGGTATTCAGTTTGAAACCTTACTCTTTCTTGCAGTTGTACATGTTGTTAATTTTCCTGACGTCTCCGCGGCTAAGACCTTCACGTTGTCCTAATTTCACACCACCAACCTGGAATTAATTTTATTTAAACCATATTTACACAGTCACAGTGTCATAAAAAAACAATTAGAAAATAATGTATATAATACTTCCGGTGATTTCCTTATCAATCTGATTATAAAGATCCCAAAAATCAGAAAATTCTGTGTTCTACACAGATGTACCTTTTTTTAAGTTGAAACGTTTTAAATTGTTTCCACGTTGCCTCAGGAAAACGAATAGACCAATTAGAATTACTTACTTACTATATAGTAACTTCCTCGGTATCTTTGTGTAGGTTTTTGAAAGACTTTAAAAGTAGTATAGAATAATATAACTTCCGAAGAATTGTCTATTTAAAAATTTGTACCTTGGGTTCAATGGTCTTCTGTTGGTTCTTGGAGAAGGCGTACTCAGAGTAATGCATCACGCTGTTGTAGTCATAGGGCACATTGAAGTCATTGGTTTGCTTGACTGTAGACTTCCTGAAGTTGTTCTCAGCACCTTGAACAAGTGACCATTAAGTTATCTTCTATCTAAGTAAATGTAGGTAAATAAGGTTAATCACAATAGTAACAAGTATTAAGTGAAGAGAGCCGTTTTTAACCACCTATTTGCGCTGCTGGAATTTTATCCTACGAAATTTAGAAAGAAAATTTTGATTTTACTTCATAGTAGGAAGACATTCTAGTATCCTACAAATATTTATATGTGAAAGTTTGTGAGGATGTATGGATGCTTGTTATTGTTTCATGCAAAAACGGATGGGCTAATTCGGTTGAAATTTTGTATGTACTTTTTGGGCGGAAGCTAATGTTGTAATGTTAGAAACATAATAACTGATGTTTACATTGAAGTCAAATACTCCACAAGACGCTATCATTACGGGCTTTTTAACTCTTTGTATTAAAAAGCCCGTAATGATAGCGTCTTTGCACTATGTTGCAACAACGGTTCTTTTTCCTTAACTTAAAGCTTAAAGAATCGGTAGCAGCTTACAGACATTGAAGAAACTTATTAGATTGCACTTTGCACTTTTAAAACTCTTATATCTATCTTCCTTACCTGGCTTAATGTTGTTGTACCGCACGCTAATGAAATCATCACGTTCAGGTCGGCTCTGCTCGTGCATGAACCCAATGGCGTGCAGCAGCTCATGCAGCACCGTGCCTTTTTTGGAGACGCATCCAGGATTCTGAAGGTTCACTTCTTGACGACCACCTTTAGGACATGTGTACATCAGTGAAGAACTTTTTTGTGAGTAGAAAATCATCAAATGACTACTCCTGCCCAGGGTAGAGCAGGAGAGAGTGTCAGATTCTTACTGACTAAAAACCCCCGTTCTTTCTCCTGCTCTAGGCGGATGCTGATTTAAGAACTTAATAGAACATTTTCAGTTTTTGAAAATTAAAAACCTCCTGGAGAAAATAAAAAAGGTGTTTTCGGATTTTGGAAATTCGAAATCATGGCACGAATTCTGGAACATTCTGGTACCATGTAATAATGACCTTATAACACTTACAACAGAATTATATTAAGTACTCAGATCTGTAGTTTATAAAGTGAACTAATTCACCTGCTACTTTCATATCTGCATTACCTAAAGGTCAATAAGGTAACACAGATTTTTATGTAAAGTTTAATACGTAGATATGTAATCTAGTTACATAAGTTACATAAAAACGCTTTTTTTGCCCGCGACTCCGTTCGCGTGTAATAGTGACTTCCTGCAGATTTTTGGTATAAAAACTATCCTATGTCCTTTCTCAAGTTCCAAACTATGTCTGTGCCAAATTTCACAGAAATCGGTTCAGTAGTTTGAGCGTGAAGAAAAGACAGACAGACAGACAAACAGAGTTACTTTCGAATTTATAATATTAGTTTGGATTATTGGCAAATAGTATTGCGCATATCTCAACAATGTTTAGACAAATTTTAACAATTATTTTTCGTTAAGTCAGTTTTTATCACAAAAAAGGTTCTTATGAAAGAAATTTCCACAAATAGCAATGCCATTCGCTTTTTCGATGGCGGAAACTGAGTAAGTTCGAGTATACTAGTAGGTATGATATAAAGACTTACCAACGCGTCCAACACTAGACCAGCATCCAGTATTTTTGCTCTGAATAGTGATGTAGTCCTTCTGTCCATTGTACGGGACAAATCGTAAGCACGTCAGTCTATGGTAGTCTGCTATCGCCCTCATTATAGTTTCACGCTGTTCTGAGTCTGTGGAAAAGCAAAGGCTTTTTTATACAACTGATGCATATTATTATACTTACTGTATTTATATAAGTTTGATCTGAACAGAATTTAGACAGTATTCACGCAACCGAAATAACCGACTAATTTTGTATGGTATAGATCGACAAACCAGCCGGACAGTATGGACCACCTAATGATAAATAATCGGTGCCGCCCGCTGCCGGACACATATAACAACAAAGAAGTTACAAGTGCGTTGCTTTGTTGGTTGTTAGGGATTTAAGGAGGCGAAAATTTGGGGAATGACGATATCGCGTAGGTGAAGGATCGGGCTTTCGGTAACACACTCCTCGGCAAAACACAATGTAAGTACATGTATTTCCCGCCGGTATTCTGTGCGACCGCGTGGTATCACTCCGGACGAGCCGGCCCCTCCGTGCCGAAGGCTCTCCCAAGTTCCATTGATTCATAAAGTATTGTTTTAATAAGTACGATGATACGAACTAAGCAAGTACTAAGCTTATTCTTTTTCAAGATTTCCAAGAAACTCATAAAACGACTGACGAAAAATAAGGTGTTTTTTGACAAGCTTAACTTATAGCCTTTAAGTCAGCATTAAAATTTTATATGGTACTAGCAGACCCAGCCAAACGTTGCTGTGGCTAAGGTTCTTGTCAAAATAATATTGTGACTATAAATTGAAATGTAAGCTATCCTATCTTTCAATTTGGATCAAAATGCACACGGAATGCTAATCAAATTTAAACTCGGTTTACGAGTAGTAGTCTAGGAGTCCATCGCGGACGAACATGTGCCACGATTTTTTTATAGATAAAGTATATAAAGATAATGTGGCACCCATCAGCAGATGATAAAAAATATTGATATAAATAATAACATGTCATAATACATACTGAAGTATCCTTCGATAACATAAGGAATATGTCCTTTTGGCCAACGCAACACTTCATTCCTGACACCATTCCTGCCCTGCTGTGGAGGCATCAAGATATCGCCCTCTGCGTAATCTCCGACCTCCTCAGGGTTCATGAGAGATGATTCTGACCACTGGGATAATGCGTCCCCTGAAAATAGAATATAATGTTTAATACTTGTTGACATTGTAAGTAAGTTTTATGATTAAGATGATATTTTTTTTCGAAAATATACCTTTTACATTGAAATCTGGTTAATGTATCTTACATAATTTGTATAATATGTGGGTGAGAAAAAAATTACAATTATTTGGAAAAAGAACCGATAGACATATTTATAATACTAGTAGCAAAGATAGATAGATAGATAAGCTGGCTGTGCCACGATACCGTCTGCCCAAAGTACAGAAATCCTTCATGGGGTTACGTGACATTTTAAAAGTACCTATTTATGGTTTAGTTGGAATAAATAATTTTGACTTTGACTTTGATCTAATGAATCTCTAAATTAAACATAACTAATTACCCCCATTCAACATTACTGGGCCTATAGACAATATTTTTTTTTTTTTTTAAACTTATGTTCCGGTAGGAAACAGCTGGAAATGTGAGATAACCTCTTCCTTTTTAGCAACGGACCTTAGGCACTTGAAAGAGTCTCTTTTACAAATAATTACCTATATGAAAACAATTAAGTACTTTTAAGTAGTGATAAGGTATTATCATCACACATCCTAAACCCATTCAAATTACGTTCGTCCCCGTAACAGAAAAAATTAACTAAAAAGTTGTGCAATGCACTTAAAACACTATTTGTCGATTAGGATATCATGAATGCGAGGAAGTGTGCTGTCGACCTAGTACCTTTTCGTTATTTTATTATCGGATGAGGTTGACATGTAGCTGTCATGTTTTTCATGACAAGCGATGCATCTTGACTTGCATCGATCTACATGCATTATTATCTATTTTCCTTATTCTGTGTAATTATAAAGACTATTCAATATTTACAACTTTGGAAGACAAGCTGTGCGAGGAATTTTTGTTACATTTTTGGGAAGTTTTCTTTTTTTAAATAGTTTGTTTTTTCAAAGAGTATTTGGCCCCTATTATAACATTCGTTCTTCATATCTAAATTAATTTGATTTTTTTATTGGTTTATATCTTCTTATTTTTTTATTGATTTAAGGCTCATCAACGACCACAGGCGTAAAACTGCAAGCCTATTACCGGCTTTTTTACCGGATACATTTCGGAGGAAATGCACGACTTATTTCCCGCCTAGTACTTTTCACCATCGAATAATCGGCAAAACGTCTCCGTTTCACGGTGGACATCCCACCCACATACACGAAGCAATTCGCCTCCAATTTTACCATCGGAAATCGGAACTCTCTAAGGAGCTGATTTTCTTACTGAAGTCTGTGTTCCCCGAAGGGTATAATGTATCTTTAAGGCCTGAATTAATAGTTTGCTTATGGTAAGGCGTGCTCCTTTGTAGGTCGCATCATCGCTTACCACCTGGCAAGAAGTGGCCAACATCAGCCCATTATTAAATAAAGACATTTTGATTTAAAACTATCAAATATACTTTATTTAAGTAAATAGCTAGCTATAAAAGTTAAGCAGAGCCAGTTACTTTGCTTCTTTTTATATGTCCTGATAAAAATAAATAAAAAAGCTTAACCATGAAATGAGCTAGTTTGTCTATAATTAGGAAAATAAAATGTACAATGAAAAGGATAGATTAATTGTGTCCATCAAAACTATAATGCGATTTCTGACTTGAGTTACGACAGAGAATATATCATATTATATTATCATACAATTACAATTATTAAGTAGGTACTGGTATAATATATAATACCAGCACCTACTTAATATACGTAAGTACATAACTACCTGCTCCTCTAAAAAATCCATATTATAAAGGAACAAAAAGCCTTGAATATGTATTATATCAAAATAATATTGCTTAAAATAACTTCCACAATTAAAACAGAAAGTAAAGCATTTTTATGCTGTCTTAGTTAAACTTATCAAAGCATTTTTAAATACTGGACTGCTAAGAAGCGGTAATTTTAAATTATATTGGTAGTTTTTTTTTATTATGTAGATTTTAAGTACTTTTTCTTGGATTACACACGTTTGATCAAATAATAGTTATATAACACATTTCAAATACATATATTAGAATTATATATTCTGCGATCACGTCCCAACAAGGATGGTCAGAAACTGTCACATAATTCAAAATGATCTTATATTTTGAACTATATTTTTTATTGTCTCATATTGTCAAATAATAATTAGGTAATTAACTTAGTCTATTAATCGATTCACTTACCGCTCTCATTCCTCGGTAGTCCGTATGCCTCAGGTCCTAAGCTCGACACATCGATTGTTTCAACCCCATCGATGCTATTCTCACCAAAATCATCGTATAAATAATTAAAAAAATTGTAATCCCCAGCGGGCAAAGCGTTAATACTACTAATTAAAATTACAAAAAAGTATAAGAAATTATTCATCTTGATTTTTTTTCAATTAAGTATTCGTTTGTTTTTTTATTTGAATCGCGTAAGTTAAAAATTTGGTAATATTTATTTTAATTTCGTTAAATTAAACTTTTATTTAAGTTAAAGGACTAGGCGTTCAGAATACAGCGATAGTTGTGTGAAGTAAATTCGCGAGGCGCGCGTTTTTATAAAGATGTCGCCAAGACCTGTCATAGGGTAAACAACAGACGCACGCGCATGTCGACAAGGTTCGTTACTCCTTACTTCCTGATGCAGGATGTGAACGAAAATGTGTAAACTAATCGATAAGAGTGACCTTGAATATTGCTTGATTTACATTTCCTATATTTTAGTTGTTTTGCTGATAATTACCTAATCTTATTATATCATTTCCTGATAAATGTAAATATTTTGCATCGGTCAGTAATTTTTGCTTGGATTCTTACCGACTACGTAAATATTGGAATGAGTTACAAATTATTTTCTTGACAAACGTTTATTTTCCGTCATTTTATGAGCGCGAACATGTTTTATCTTTTATTAATGCACTAAAGAGTGATTCAGTTGATGCTTGCGATGTTTTTTATCGGAAACTTCCGTTTCCGTTTCATTGAAGAAACATTATGAACAACTGAAAGAATATAGAAAAGGTGTACTATTTTTCTATGGTTGTATTCATAAAGAAATAACAAACAATATTTATTTATCTGCTTCGCCGAAATACTTGGTTCTGAATTTAATTCTTGATTACTTGCATCGACATGACAAAAACTTTTAAAGAGTTTGTGAATGTGTGTAGTAATAGTTAAAACTTTGAAAATCGATAACTCACTTGGTAATTTATAAATTGAAGGACAATTTTATCATTTATTAAGTCAAGTCACAAATTAAGTTGATATCAGGTTTTTTATGGAGGAAAATTATTAGATGACACCTCTCGCCCAGGTTAAGGCGAGAGGAGGTTTCAGTGTCTTACTGACTCAAAACCACTACGTTCCTTTTCCTGCCTCAGACTCAGGTAGGTACCTTATTAAGCTTGCCCCGCAACCCTAGGATAGGTATCAGTTTTTTTTTGTGAGGGGAAAGTCATCAAATGACTTCTCCCGCCCAGGGCCGGGCGCGAGGGAGTGTCAGACTCTTACTGACTAAAAACCCCCCTGTTCCTTCTCCTGCTCTGTGCCGAAGTCGCAGTGCCTCATTGCGCTTACCCCGCAACCCCGGCTGAACATCAGCCCTTTAGGGCCCCGTCTGTGATGGTCTATTGGCTCTTTGAGGCGCGCGCGGAACGCTACGCGCCGTACGCTCGGGCCTGGTTCTGTTCGGGCGGCGAGCTGCCCTTACTCGCCGACCGCAGGCCCGTGCTTATAGTGGCTGGATATCGTCCCTTGATCCCCGACGCCCGTAGTGTCGCCAGTTGCGGCTGCTGGGGCGTGAGGAGGAGGATTGCTCCCTCACGCGGGCCGCCTCTCTCTTTAGGGCCCCGTCTGTGGTGGTCTATTAACTCTTTGAAGCGCGCGCGGAACGCTACGCGCCGCACGCTCGGGCCTGGTTCTGGTCGGGCGGCGAGCTACCCTTACTCGCCGACCGCAGAACCGTGCTTATGGTGGCCGGAGATCGTATAGGTATCAGTTTAAGGTACGATATGCCTTTAGAAACCAAGCCACATATTTTGGCAAGTATCTACTTTAACAAGTATAAGGTTTTTTGAGCGTGTAAGTCATCCAATTGCTGACTTGCCTCGAGTCAGAAGCTTTTACTGGTTAAAACCTGACACGGGTTCTATTCCTGCACGGAACAACTGTTCCGTGATTTTTCTTTCTTTCTTTTATTCACAAATTGTTGTTCCGGGCCAGGGTGCGATTGTAGTGTGTATGTGAAATAAATAAAAAATAGGTAATAATTTAGATCTTCCTTGTTTTTTCTCATAGCTTTTTCTAAACCAACCTTTTTTTGGGTTTTAATCAGATTTTAATCAAATCCCAGTAACTATCATTACAGGGCGCAAAGCTAGTCAGATCTTCATAACCAAGGGTAACTTCTCATTATAAGTGATAAAGTGCTATTATGCATACACTATCTATTCCACGTTAACAAACGTAATCGTTTTAAATAAAAAAAGAAGAAGCTGGTCTCAGGTGATGCTTTACAAAATAACCATATCAAACTTTTTTTATGTAATAGGTCGGCAACCGGGCATACGGATTACCTGATGGTAAGCAATCAGCGCCGCCTATGGACACCGACAACGGAGGAGATACGAGTGCGTTGCCGACCTTTTAGGGATTAGGGTTTTGGAGATATAGGCATTGGGGAGGGATCGTGGGAGGCGAAGGATTGGGCTTCTTATAACCTCGCTAACACGGAAACCAAAAAAACTAAATCGAACCAACAACAATCTGATCTTTACATTGCACTTAATAGGTACATCTTTAAACAAAACAAAATAAAGTTTTTTTTAAGACTATAAAGAACGATCTCATTCATCAATTAGTTAGAGGCAATTTGCATCAATATTAATCCTCCTTTGTCGTAGATTTACCTAAAAAGGTGACCAATAAAATGCCAACTTCACACAAAACAGTTTCTCAATATGCCTATCTAAATATATCCTAGATAGATATCCTAATGTATGTTTTCCATACAAGTTATTTTGTAGGAATAAATTAACAGATTGGTCGCCCTATGGCCAATCGGCGCTACTCATTAATTCCCACAACACAAGAGGTGTTACAATTGTGTTGGTGGCTTTTTAAGGGCTTAGGAATAAGGAGGTTTGAGGATTAGTGTTAAGACGGACTGAGAAAAATGTTGTTTATGCCCCACGTTAAACATCTAACAAAGTTTTAAGATGGATAAAAACAAAAGTATTCCATATGTTTTACGTTAAATATGTCTATTAAAACTACTTAATTTTCTAACGTATTGTATAGATTTCGTTGTCAGTATTTCTTTAAAAAATATATGAAATATAATCGCAAATTTGTGTTTGGAAATAAAATTAATGACAATCTCAAACTTCCTGAACCAAAATCCACGAACACGTGGAAAGTTTTGTGCATCTCCAATTATTTGATGACTCAAATTTCGACCTTAATGAGAAATCTAAAACAGGCCACCTTCCTTGACATAAGCATGGCGACCTACAGAGTGACAGTGATTGCGTCACAATATCCAATGTGTCACTTATGAAGCCCAAGCAAAGTTCGTTGACCAAGGCCTCTATTTTTTAAGTAAACGGAAGGCATTGTGATAGGAACAACCTCCATACGTCAGGAAACATTGTTATTTCCACATAACATATAATATACATTATCATCATTTTAAGTGACCGAATCATCTTTTGTTTAAAGAATTTGTTTTTAAAATAATATCTACTCTATCGTGACGAACATAAGATTTATATTGTTTTCCATAAGTAACATCTTTTTTTGGTAAAGTGTAATATAATAAATAAACATTAGGTAAGCTTCTGCGGTTTTTATTGAACTTCTGTTTTATTATAATGTGTTTTACTGACAAATTTGTTAAGATTGATGATTGTTTTTAATGTGATATTTAATATGACTTCACAGCTTGATTCTAGATTCTGCATTAATGATATCCTTTATCGATAGTTGGACCTATTACTAGACATATTTTTTATCGAATGTCTAGAAACATAAACAACAATGTAACATTTTTTCGTCACTTCACGATTGTAGAATAGAAAATATGCTTAGTATGATATAAACGTATTAAGTGTGGGAGAGCCAAGCTTCGGCACGAATGGGTCGGCTCGACCGGAGTGATACCACGGCCTCACAGAATACCGGCGTGAAACAACCCACAGCGTTGTGTTTCGCCGTGTGAGTGAGGTTATCGGAGGCCCAATCCTCCCCTTCCCCTATCCCTTCCCAATCCTTATATCCGCAACCCCCATCCCCAAAAGGCCGGCAACGCACTCGTAACTACTTTGGTGTTGCGGGTGTCCATGGGCGGCGCCGATTGCTTACCATCAGGTAATCCGTCTGCTCGTTTGCCGACTTATACCATAAGAAAAAAAAAAACGTGGTTTACTGATTAAAGAAAATAAACACAATTCAGATTACGTAAAAGTGCAATAGATCTTTAAAAATCTTTACATTACAAATGTATGTCTACTTCAATTGCAGCTTTCAAGTTGAGAGCCCAGCTTTAACTGCAGTACCTACTACAACAACTTTCAAGTTCTATAAGCAGTCCTGTATGGAACTTCTATAATGTATCTCATTATCAGCCTATAAGGGCCCGCTGCTGAGCAAAGGCCTCTTCTCAGACGGAAAAGGTTTGAGCGTGAATCACCACGCTTGCTCAAGGCGGATTGGCGATTTCAAACTAGTCTAAGTCCAGGTTTTCCTCACGATGTTTGCATTTACTGCAAGTCAGTAGTGTCTAAATAGTTATAGATAGTACATATAACCCCGAAAAAGTCACATTAGTACCAGGTTTAGAAACCGCACCCTCACGCATGAAAAGCCCTCTGCCTCCGGGCCACCACGACAGAATCCGAACCTTAGTTTTGAAACCTTATTAAAAACTTCAAAATATGCGTAAATACTGAATGAAAACATGTCCGTTTGTCATCATAACATGATCCCATCAGCAATGATGCATAGAATGACGTTGTTAAGTAGAACCTACCTACAAAATATTAGCTCAAACCTTGAAGATTCCCATGAGTAACGTGATAATAATTATCGTCAAGGTTCATCTTTGATTAGGCAGTAAAACTTAACGTTTATTAGCTTATATTCCTTGGATACTTGTAACAATCCTATTATAATGAAAATAAACAAACCGTAGGTGGTTAGTTAGATAACTGCCTACGATTTTATCAACTCACGTGACTTTGTTATTGTAAGAAATCTTATATGTATGTAAGTACATCCACACAAATACCTAGATACCTACATAATTTCACCTTGCAGGGAGCTCTTGTATTAGCCAGTGTTTTGGGGCAAACGGAATAATAATAAATAATATATTTTCCCTTCTCAAAAAAAGAAGATCCA